TTTTCCCAACTTCGGAAATCATTTCCCTGATTCAAATTTTTTGTGCTTGGTTCTTGATGTACTGCAAAAGTTCATTTTTATTATCTTAGCTGTGGTAAAAAATGTCTTGCTCAGGCCTCTGTTGCAAAGTCCAATTTTTCTTTGGCATTCCCCTACATTGATGCATCAGAGGAGAGAGAATCAGTGGAAAGCTCCTTGATTTCAGAATTTACAAACACGTGTGGGCATGGTCTTGAGGCCAGCAACATTGCTTTCTCGCAATCGTGCTCTGTAGAGGGTGGAAATTTTGAGAAACTCACTGATATCCACTCAGTTCAGGTTAATAATGGAGCAATCTCTATTCTATTAAAAAATAAGGCACCCGAAAAAGTAAAAGAAGTGACAATTTTCAGATTTTACTGCAGTGGTTATGTTCACCACAGCTACTACTTGCTTGTATGTGTATATATGGATCCTGTTTCCGTGTATACTGGACGTATTAATTCTTTTCATCCATCTTGTGTTACAGAACTATCTGCTATCAAGGATCACTAAGCAATCCAAGGGGCAGCCAAATTTGATTGTTCTCTGCGATCAAGGTCACCGTACTCTGCGAGGAGCTGAAGAACAAACCTCTGAAGGTATGATATCAATGGAGAATGTGGTTTATACCTATTTTGGTCATATATAGTTCTTAAACTTGATAAACTTGTAGGACAAGTTTTATCTCAACTACTCAGTTATGTGGAGAATCTGGGAGCCAAATACACTGCACTCTATGTGTCAGATCCTTTTAGGTCAATTCAGTTCCCCTCTCATAGGGAAGTAGAAAGGTTTCTTGCTGAAGGTACTGGAAATAAATCAGTCGATGGCTGTGATGGAGTTTGCCGAATTAAATCCTCATTTTTGGAGGGCATATTTGTGGTAAGTTGTTTGCATCTGTCCACAGTTCAAAGCTGCTTCTAGTGTTTTCTTCTGGTTGTGGTAAAGTCAGATTATGTCCCTTTTTTCCCTTGCTGCTGCCTTTTGTGTTTACTGATTATATATGTTCTTTACGTACTGTTCCAGGCAATTGTCTTGCTTATAATTTTGATATCTGGCCTTTGCTGCATGATGGGAAT